TTCATTCTCAGCACCAAATCTAATGATGGCTTACTTAGTGTGTTGCTGTTTTCCCTAGTGTCCTGGAAAGGATGAGTTACCTTCATTTTTTTAGATACTCCTACAGAGGACCAGAAGACATGTGGAATATGGTTTTAGCCGAATATGATCACACAGAGTTGTTGCATATACTAGAATATCATCACCCCAGGATGAATAATCAGTAGTAATTATATAACTTATCTTTTTAAGAATCAGTTGTATTTAGAGAAGTACCAATAATAAGATTTTAATAAACATATACTACCTGGTTTTTTTTTCTGGTAGAAACGATGGTTACAAGTTAAGAATAATGCAAATATCAATGGAAGATAAGCCCCAAATGAATTCTTGTCTGATGATTTTGTTTATGGTCCTAGGAAGTACCCAAGCCCTTCACTCAAATGTTTCCATTTGTACATCATTCTTTTTAATGGACAATGGTGCTAAATTTGATTTGTTGGTGAAACAAAGAGATGGGAAACTGAGATGGGACGACTGAGATGGAGAAGATTGTACAGGGTAGGTAATCCCAAGAACAGCAAATCCTGCCAAGGCCTTACCATGAGGCTTCAAAGCCATGCGCCCAGCTGGTCCATAGAGGGCTGTCTTGGGTGTATAGTGTTGTGACTCAGCAGCTAAAATTTCAAAATAATAACATGATGTTATTGTCAAAATAATAACTTTCCAGCAGCTGCTAAAACTTACTAATACTACTGAATCACCATAACTTCAACTAGAAGGTGACTGGGGAAGAAGTGGCAGAAATGATTCAAGCATGAATTGTGAGCTTGGCATTTGTTCTTGCCAATGAGTTATGCTGCTTGTACATAAGTTGTGGCTTAAATTCAAAACATTTCCAGGGTCAATATTGGATGTTGGGTTAAAATTACTAATATTATATTATCAGAAAATAGAAAACTCAGTACCTCTGGTCATTATCTTTTCAAATATGTGAGTGACAGCCCTGTAGTCAAGCTTATGAGAATATGTTTCAATTTTCCTCTTCTGGAGATCTAGCTCTTCATTGAGATACAGCTGCAGCAGCTATCTGCTTTTCCCTTACTGTACTTAACTGCATTACTTTCTCATGTATTAGTAGGCCCTTATATTTTAATTTCCTGACAGCACTTCCAATCTAGTTGGGAAGAAATTATTTGGACACTAAGCCCAATATCATATATGAATGGAGCTCTTCTTTGAGATTTCTTGGGGTTTCAGGAGTACACGGACTTCTGGAAGGAAGCAGAAAACAGGGGCCCTGTGGGAGGGACCCCGACTGCTGGATGGGGGTGCAGGAACAGGGACACAGACAATGTTTGCTACTCAGAGTCATCCAAGTATGGGACAAGAGGATTAATCAGAACAGGATCCAGGAAGCTTGCAAGAGATTATGGGGGATAGAGGGTGAGACACAAGGCAAGAGGATCTATCTGCCTTGGGAAGAAGGATGTATTTATATGTTTGGAAATAGTCAAAGTGCTGATCAAGTGGGCTGAGATTTAGGGAAATTAGCAATGCCAATATGGTACTAAGACAAAAACTCAATCCTACAAGATAAACAGCAAGTGTGAAGGCAATATATGGGGTACCCAGGGCTCACTTCATGCATGCCTGCTATGGAGTCTCCAACAGGACTAGCTTCAGGTCTAAATGTTGAGACTGATGTCCCTGTCACAGTTGAAGTCTATTTGGACCTGGTAGGAAAAGTGATTTCTAAGAGAAATTATTAAGGATGACCAGGGAAAACAAGGGCTTAATTTATGTCCAAGTTTTAGGGTCATTCCTATACTTTAATTGATTTTGCTGTTGTCTAACTATACATAAGCCTCCCTTTTTTTTTTTCTTGGTGACAGAGTCTCACTCTGTCACCCAGGCTGGAGTGCAATGGTACAGTCTCAGCTCACTACAACCTCTGCCTCCCAGGTTCAAGCAATTCTCCTGCCTCAGCCTCCCAAGTAGCTGGGACTACAGGTATGCACCACCACGCCCAGCTATTTTTTGTATTTTTAGTAAAGATAGGGTTTCACCATGTTGCTCAGCTGGTCTTGAACTCCTGACCTCGTGATCCACCCACCTAGGCCTCCTAAAGTGCTGGGATTACATGTGTGAGCCATCATGCCTGGCCCGTAAGTTCCTTTTTTTAGATGTTGAGGCTTGTCTTTTCCTATTCCTGAGTTGGATTTCCAGTTTTCAAACCCTTGGCTTGGTTTGGCAACAGTGGGTGCTCCAATTCCTAATTTTTCACTTTGTATTCGGATTTTGAGACTATTACACTGTGAACTCCTTGAGGGCAGGAAAACATCTTCCTGATCTTTGAATCTTGAGCCTATACTCAGTGCCAGGCATGATAGATTTTCAGCAAATAAAGGAATATCTAAATTATCTCACAGGATCTGGCCCAATAAATCTTGACCCTGTTGTTCCTATGTCTTAATATGGCTGTCTGTATGGTTATATATATGCGAAGACATCATGCTAAAGCTTTGTTATAACCAGATATGAATCCAGAGTTAAGATAAAGCACAAACAACAAAGCCTTATGCATCAGAATTTGGCAAGTTTCTGAAATAAGGTTCCAGTAGCCTTTTTGATTTATTCAGTAGTGACTAATTTTAGCTTATTAGGAAGGGGAAATAAATTCAACTTTATTTGACAAACTCTTTCTGACAGTCCTTAAATCCCTTATGTCCTAAATGTTTTTTTTTTTTTTTCCCATTATCTAAATGCCTAAGGAGGCAAAAGCCAACATAAGTCAGTCCCATCACTGTCTGTGCTCTAGAGGCCTCCTTAGTTCTTACTCTTATTTTCTCCTGGATATATCAAATCCTTACTACAAAAGAGATCACGGAGTGTCTAGAATGCCTTTTGAAAACTCAGGGAATACAAAAAATATGGTCTTATTTGTTTAAACATGCAAATTATTCATCTAATACTAGCATTAAAAAAGAAATGGTCTCTGGCCAGGCCTGGTGGCTCTCACCTGTAATCCCAGCACTTTGGGAGGCTGAGGCGGGCAGATCACGAGGTCAGGAATTTAAGACCAGCCTGTCCAACATGGTGAAACCCTGTCTCTACTAAAAATACAAAAATTAGCTGGGCGTGGTAGCACGTGTCTGTAATCGCAGCTAATCAGGGGACTGAGGCAGGAGAATCGTTTGAACCAGGGAAACAGAGGTTACAGTGAGCCGAGATCATGCCATTGCACTACTCTAGCCTGGGCAACACGAACTAAACTCCGTCTCAAAAAAGAAAAAAAAAAAAAAAAAAAAAAGAAAAAGAAGTGGTTTCAATATTAATTCTGTTGGTGCCACATCATATTCCCCCAGCACTCTCTGTGACAGGAGACTCATACAAACAGTTGAACCTCTCTGCCTGAAGACTTTCTGTGGTTAAAGGAACAGGCCAGTAAGTGCTGGGGAGTTAGATGCTCCTGGGAGCAGTGCTTCACCAATGATGGATGTGGAGGTGATCATTAAATATCTGAGGTATTGCGTAGAGGTCTCCAGCAGTTCCCTGTTGAGCCCAGTTGCTCACAGTACACACTGTAGTAGCTTCTTTCCTTTCCCTGCCTTATTCCACCACTCATCTCCCAGATAAACTCTTAGTATTCAAAGCTTTGGCCATGTGTCTGCTTTTAAGAACCCAAACAAAGACATTGGGTAGAAACAGACATGGATGGTCAATGTAATTTCCTACTGGATATTAAGATGAGCCCATGTAGGTAAAACCAGTATACCTAGATGTTAGTATTCATGTGAACCCATTTGCATAGCAGCTGGCTGATAAACTGGGGCAGTGCACAGAGAGTCAGTGGGGTCCCCAACTCCAGTTCACATTTCCATAATATCAGTGAATGTCCTTTTCTCTGAAGTTATGTCTCTTATAAAATGATGTTCACAGTAGAGAGAATTTTCTTTTTCTTTCCTTTTTAAAAATAAAATTACTCAGCAAAATGATAGGTTGGCAAGTATACCCAGGAATCAGCAGTTTTGTGTTTATAATTATACCTGTTTGTAAAAATCCCAAAGTCCTAAATGCACAGTTGTCGTGGAAGATGCAAGGACGTAGAAAATATATAGCTATTTCCATGATTGCTGTCTACATATTTGTGAGGAAATCCATTAAGCTCTTTGGCCCTCCGTATTCTTTTGAGTGAAGCAAGAGGTTGTCAGTGATCACTGCGGCTTCTTCTAAGGTCTAGCAATCTTGAACCACTCCGGCTGTAGGGCCTCTCAGACTGTAAAAATGAACATGTTCTCTTTGGTGGCCTCTCATCTCTCTTTTTCACATTTTTCTGCTTCCGCAAAGCCTGCCTACAAGCCCTTAGGCTGTTTTTCCTAATAAACAGGCACTCTGAGGGCATGAAGCATCTCTTAATCATCCTTTAATTTGTGATATGGGGGAGGGCTATTTATTTAAAATATTACAGAATAAGTAGCTTCTCCAAATCATGTATCTGAGTCATTTTGTAGAGACTGACTGAGTTGGCTGAGAACTGGGTGTGACATAGGGTCTGAGGAGAGCTGGTGCTTAGAAGTTGCCTCCAAAAGAAAAGAAAACTTGAGGCAGAGAAAATTTGAGCAGAAGCCTATTGGTGTAGGAGATAAGAAGTAGGCATATTATGTGGATTCAGGAAAGTCAGCAAACTAGGGTGTTATAAAGCCTGACCACTCTTCCCCATGTAGTAAACTGAGCCTCAGAAATCTAAAGCGTTGCCATCACCCAGGTAGATAGCATTATACCCGATCTAGATTCCACATCTCAGCATCACGCAATATTCCCGTGTAACAAATCTGCACATGTACATTCATATTTAAAAGTTGAAATTTAAAGATTTCTGAAGTGAAGAAATAAAGGAAATGAATCTTCAGTTTTGTAGGTGAGCAGGTAACAGCACCCTGGGTTTCTACCAGAGTGCTAAACCATTGCTTCCAATGTGGGAGGAGGAAAATGCCAGCTGTGATTTACTTGCTCTTTAGAATGAAAGAGAAAGGGATGTGCAGATGGAGACTGGCCTCAGGCCCTACAGAGGGGAAAAAGGGAGAGCATGTGTCAATATTAAGAGAGAGGAGGCAGAAGATAGTGGCTCAAAGGTCAGCTGCAGGTAGGCACATGTGTCAAATCCTTGATGTTTCACCCTGTTATTCTTTTCTGTTGGTATTTCTGAGTCCTTCAAATGTTTGTGCTTTTAAAAATTTTGTTTATTAGTTTTAAAAGTAAGACATATGAATTACTAAAAATTTGGAAACTATGAAAAAGCAAGAACAAGTAAATAAATCACCAATAATTTCCATGCTTTTTAAATTAATCATTTTTACTACTTTCTCCCCTTTGATACTTGCATATGCTTTTTGTTGGTTTTATGACAGTGACATCATAGTATGTATGTCCATGTCTGTATGTGTGTATGTGTATATTGATATCGTTTTTTGGCCTGGTTTATTTTAGTTAATTTTCTGTTGTGAATATTTTCTTAAATCATTAGTTTTCAAAAGCATAATTTTTAAAATGACAAAATATCATTTCACTCAGCCAATTCTTGTTATGCGTCTGGCACTTTGCTAGATACTAAGGTTACAGATATAAATAGGAAAGGACCAGCTTTCTTGACAAATATGACTTTAGAGCACAATCTCATGAACATTATTGGAATTAGAGGTTGTTCCCGGTAATGTCTCATTGAGAATGGCTTCAGGCTTGAGGTAAGCATTCTTTGTGATTTATTTCTTTACTTTTGTATAGACATTAGTGGTACACAGAGAGACATCAGAGCTGTTCTCAGTTTTGTCCTGGCATGTTCTTCTTAAACTCCTGTGTAAACTGGAATAACCCAAAGATAGGCCACACAAAATTTCTGATAACTAGGCAGAATAAAACCCAGTATAAAGGAATAACTGAGTTCTTCTCTAAACAAATCTTAAAACTGTGATGGGAATTGAGGACCTCCTTGCAGGATTATTGCTAGCCTAAAAGAAAGGTCCCTTTGACCCAAGACTTCCTCAATTCACAAAGTAGCATATAGGTTTGTGGCAGGGAGGGAGTCCTTACATGTATCCTTGACATCATTGTGTCAGTAGGATCTACTCATGGGCTCTATGGTTGTGTATATGAATCATGGTAAATGGAATGTCTTGCTATTTCAGGCATATCTATTTATACCACATCAAAAGTAGCAATATCTACTAACTCTATATATTTTTGGGATTTTAAAATTGATTGAATTGATTATATTTTTTCTAAAGTAGCAAGAGACTTCTCAGATAAGTCTGAAGTGAACAAACCATAGGTATACAGATAAATGTTCACAAATTGAACATACTATGTAACGAGCATCTAGATCAACAAACATGGAGCATCATCAGTACCCAGAAGCACTCACTGTGCCCCCTTCCTGTCACCATTCCCTCCATCCTTTAAGCAGCATGGATAGCTTTTATCTTTTTTTAAAATTGTGCTTTGGGCTCTGGAGTACGTGTGCACATCCGTCATCCTGCAGGATTGTTGCATAGGTATATACATGCCATGGTGGTTTGCTGTCTCTATCCCCAACGTGCCCCACTGTCGCCTACATCAGGCATTTCTCCCGGTGTTATCCCTTCCCTTCCTCCTTGCCCTCCACTGTCCCTCCCCTCCACTCCCCTCCACTCCCCTCCACTCCCCCACCTAGCTCAGTGAATGTTGTTCTCTTCCCTGTGCCCAAGTGTTCTCATTGTTCATCGCCCACCTATGAGTGAGAACATGTGGTGTTTGGTTTTCTGTTCTGTGTATCTTTTTAAAACATCATAGATTTTGCTCTCTTTGTGTTTGGATTGTTTTCCTTAATATTATACTTGTGAGATTCAAACATATTGTTGAGTGCAATTTTGTTGTTGTTTTTCTTAAAATTCTCATTGCTGTGTATATGCCATTGTAATAAATATACTACAAATTATTTTTCATTCTACTGTTGATGTATATTGTTTGTTCTAGTTTTTAGTTTTTAAGAATAATGCTGCAATAAAAATGCCTATAGAAGTCTTTTGATATATAATTTGCATACATTTCTGTTGTACATACTAAATACAGAATTATTAAATCATAGGGAATGCATATATTAAGCTCTGATAGATATTGACCAGCTGTTTTTTAAAGTGGTTTTACCAACTTACACTTTTACCAGCAGTGCATGAGAGTTCTGGCTATTCATGCCCTTGCCAACATTTGATATGTAGATATATGCATATGGTTTTTGCCTTTTAGTCACAGTATTTACAAGAAATAACCAAGATTCAAAATTTTGGGCAGTATGTTCAGAGAACCTTTAATCATCTTTGTATCAATAATGTTTAATCAGAAGATATAAAACCAGATGCTTATTAATATTCCATTCTTATTAAAATGCAAAGATGTTATTTCAGAAGATAATACTGTTTATATTAGTTTGTCTTATGTTCTTTCCTCTGAACAGAACTCAGACACGAATATTAGTTTTTCTCTAATATTCACTTGACAAATAGTTAATAGTAACAAATAAACAGCTGCAATCCCTTTTCACTCTGGCAAAATGGTTTACCTGAGCTCTGCTAGGAAAGCACTGTGACATTCCATTAACCATAATTTAGCTACACAACCATAGACAATTGAGAAATGAACTTTTACAAATAAAGGCTTATTGTAAGACAGCCACATCCATTTGTTTACATATTGTCCAATCCAAGTTGAATAGTTGCAGCAGAGAATACATGGCCTGCAAAGCCTCAAATATTTACTATCTGGCTCTTTACAGAACATGTTTGATGACCCCTCCTCTAGCGGTATCTATTTTAATTACTAGCAAAATCGGAGAAGTAGGGTTAGCATGACATTTAGTGAAAATTCCAAAGTCCCAGTCCTCATAGGTCTTCAGTTAAAATAGGTACTTTTAAGGTAGGGTTCGTCAATTGTTTTCTGTAAATACTTGAAGAGATAAAGTTTTATTTGTGGATACTGAATATGAACTTCATATATGTGTCATGTTTTATGAATTACCACTCTTCTCTTGATTTTTCCCCAGTCATTTAACAATGTAAAATCATTCTTAGCTCATGAGATGTACAAAAACAGACATTGTGCTAAAATTTGCCTGCATGCTATAGCTTACTTATTCCTTCTCTAGGATATTAATTGCTGATAAGCCCTGTGAAGTCAGAGACCTTGTCTGTTTTGTTTCACTCTTGGAGTTCCAAACTGGTATCACACCTCACACAGAGCCTATGCTCCAAAATAGTTGTGGAATGAAATACTATTGCCATTTTAAATTATGCAGCATGGCACAAATCCTATGTTGAGATTGAGAGGGCTTTATTTATTTTACTTTGCATATATGTACCATATGCCTACTATGTGTTCTCCTTTGTGCAAAAACAGATATTATTTACAAGACCTCATGCCAGCTACTTGGAAGAAAAACTCATTAATGTGTCATTCATCTTACACCGCAAATGTCCTACATTCAGGACACTGGATATTAGTATAGTAAATTCATGTGTCTATGAATAGCCACCGTTATTATCTGTCAGGCATTTTGGTGAGAAAATCAGGAGCATAACTTAACAATGAAGTGGGAGATATTTTTTTCCCTTTTCCCATGGGCAAAGGAGAGAACAGCTAACATTTCTTTAGATAATGCATAATAAATTATGCATAAGTGCAAATTTATAAACAAATCAAATCTCAGCCTGCAACATGGGTTGGTATAGTACAAGCGGGTAACACTTGAGTTTTCTTTTATCATATTTATTATTAAAATAACTAGTCATCACATAAAATTTTTAGACATGTACAGAAGAATAAGGAAGAAAATGAGTACCTAGTAAAATTATCATCAAGTTTACCAGAGATGACATTTTGTTGCATCTTCCCTCTTTATCATCCCCTTCTTCAGTCAGGACATGAGAAAACTACAAACTTCAAGTTAAACCTACTGGTATTCCTGGTGGCTCATGCCTGTAATCCCAGCACTTTGGGAGGGTGAGGTTGGTGGATCATCTGAGGTCAGAAGTTCGAGACCATGCTGGCCAACATGGTGAAACTCTGTCTCTACTAAAACTACAAAAATTAGCTGAGCATGGTGGTATACACCTGTAATTCCAGCTACTTGGGAGGCTGATGCAGGAGAACCACTTGAACCCAGGAGGTGGAAGTTGTAGGGAGCAGAGGTCATGACATTGCCCTCTAGCCTGGGCAACTGAGCGAGGCTCTGTCTCAAAAGGAAAAAAAAAAAAAAAAAAAAAAAAAGAAAAAACTACTGGTATTATATCCTCTTTTTGTTACTGAATAACTGTGTGACTTTGGACAATTAATATATCTATGCCACAATTTTCTTACGTGTAAAAATAGGATGATAACAGTATATGCTAATGGAGCATTATAAAGATTAAATGTGCTAATATGACAAATTGCTTAACTGTGAGTGCACAATAAAGGTTAATTGCTATTAATATTGAAATTTATCAAAAGATATCACACTTATTTGATATTTTTTGTCTTCTCCTCCCCTTCCCTATTTTCCCCCTTCCTTTTCCTATTTAAGTTCTTCCCCTCCCCTTGTTGTTCCTGATCTTCAATGGCTTCATGATGTTCCCTTTTATGGTTATGCTCTGATTTACTGTAGAACAGGTTAGGATTACTTTTCACTTTTCACTGCTCTAATATTATAGTAAATACCCTTGTGTATCCATGTATGTTCATTTCTCACTGAATCTCCCATTATTTCTACAGTATATTTTTGTAAAATAAAGATGTAATTGCTGGGTTAAAATGTAAGCATATTTTTAAACTTTAAAAAAACATATTAAAATGTGCCTTTAAAAAAGCTGATACCACATCATAGTTGTAAAAGCAGTCTTTGAGACTCATGGTTTTACTGCCATGTATCTTTTACTACTGGCTATTACCTGATTTGTGCCAGATAACACTGAGTTTGTACTAGAGACTACCATTTCTTGGCTAATGGCTGTTCTTCATCCTTAGTAATAAAATCTCCCATTTTTAGCTAAGGATGTGGGCACAGAGAACAAATACTGCATTTCTCATATTCCCATGCAGTTGAGTGTGGTCATATGATGCAAGAAAATATGAATATGATATTTGTGAATTCTAGTGAGAATAG